GTCAAGATCTAGAGATGTCCAATTTTGTCAACAAGATATTCCACAAATTAACTACAGCTGCTTTGTTATATACAGGAATCTCATGTTTAAAGCCTGATTGGTGAGGTAGATTGGATTTCTGCAAATGTCATAAATAGCCTTTGAAGATTTCATGATGTTTTTCCTGCAATATAAATAACATAAGGAAATAAAAGTTAGTACTTAAATCAAATACATTTTTAGCTCCATATTCTTCAGCAAATCCTTGGTGATTACATTACCAGAAGAAAAGTTCATAAATAATCTTTAAAGTGATGTCAACTGTGATTAACAAGATTATCTACAAAATGATGACAACTGCTTTTCTATGTGTTGCCACCACATTTCAAGAGCAAGTTGTCACCATTGACCCAAGGAGTATCTTTTTGGACAAAACTTGCTGCAAAAATCATTAGAGCTGATCTAAGTACTTTGTTGATAATTTTCCTCCCACCAGTTACAACATAATACATAGTCTCCTCAAAATAGATCTAGATGCTGTCGGAAAATGCTGGTTACAAACTTGAGAAACAAGAATCTCCAAGAAACTCCAGAGTACTTCTAGAAATTATGCTTAAAACTTAAGAAGCCAAACAAAGGAAGTTAGAACTTGGATTCCAAGTCAGACTTTTTTCCGGAGACCATCTTCAAAGTCAATGTCGAATAAAAATGAAGGACGTCCAATTTGGTCGACAAAATGATCTACAAACTGCGTCTTCATGTGTTAGGAGCACATTTCAAAAGAGAGTTGTCACATTTGATTCTTGGATGATCATTTCTACGGATACTAGTAGACTCTTGGCTTATTTTCTTTAGACATAACATTCTGTAAGAACCATTAGAGCTGGTCCTAATTGCTGATGATTTTTCCTTCATCTACATGTTATAAAATTGGACTCAAAATTGTTCTAGATACTGGTGTTGGAAAATGCTGTGATTCAAAGAAAATACCACAGCTCCATCAATGAAATAAAGACCATCAGTTTCAGATCATCAATTTCACGAACTTCCTTTCTCCAATATCCAAAAAACTAATGAATCTACTATTTGTACTTAATTTTATTCCTGTACTTCAAAAAATTCAGCTTAAAATCAGACAAGTTGAACAAATTTACATAAAACTTGGATTCCAAGTCCAAAATCAAATAGAATTTCAGAGCTATATAGATTCCATTGACAATTATCACAATTTTTCCCCAAATATCATCTCCAAAGACAATGTCAAATAGAAACAAAAGAAGTTCAATTTGGTCATGAAAATTGTCTACAAGTTCATGACTGTTGCTTTGCAATGTGGTCGTAGACTTCAAGAGCAAGCTGTCACCATTAAAACAAAAACGACCATTTTTAGGTAAAACTTCTTACAAGAATCATGAGAATCATTGCTGGTCCTAGTACGTGTTGATAGATTTTACTTACAGATACAATTAATGGCTACCAGATATTTTTTTCCAAATACCATCTACAAAGTCGATGCCAAATAAAATTGAAGGAAGTCCAATTTGGTCAACAAGATGGCCTATAAATTCACAATTGGTACTTTACAATGAGCTAGTACATTTCAAGAGCAAGTTCAACTATGAACCAAGGATAATTTATTTTAGACAAAACCTTCAAGCAAGAATTATTGAAGCTGGTCCTAGTACGTGTTGATGGATTTTACTTACAGATCCAATTAATGGGTACTAGATTTTTTTTTCCAAAAGACCATCTACAAAGTCGATGCCAAATAAAATTGAAGGACGTCCAATTCGGTCAACAAGATGGCCTACAAATTCACGACTGCTGCTTTACAATAAGCTTGAAGCAGATTTTTATGGCAATATGTTTCTTGGTTTACATTTCTCATAATTTTACTATGTTTAATCAACTTCAGTTTGAAGAGAAGTTGAATCTGGAGAAATTTTTTTAAGCAGGCGCTGGTGTATTCAACAATTTAACCAATTTTGCAAATACTTCTAGTAATGACCAATAGAACCTGCGGAGTACAGAACATACATTGACCAAATTGACATGTTCAAAAATCTTTTTACATTCTGGTGGTGTCATTACAAATCCAGTTCTTTGGAAGCAGAAACTTTTATGGAAACAATTGCCACACCCAGAATCTGCTGAAATCAATCCTGGGGCACTAAAAAACACTAACTAAAAAACAGCTGTTTGTTCCAATCAATCATGTAAAAAAGTTGGGATCAATTTCATCAACCAACGCCCACAAAAATGAAGACTATGTATATGAAAATCTCAGAAGAATGTCCTAATTTTTCTGGTCAAAACAGAATTTAATCTGATATTTCCTGTATTAATTTGTATCTTCAATTGATTCCCGATACACTCAAATAATTTACATTGCAAAAGTTTTTAGAACTTTGTTTGGTTTAGAATCCTGCAATGACTAATATCGAGAGCAAGACTAGTTCGATTTTTTTTAGGTGAGTTTTCTTTTCGAAGAATGGGAGGATTCTAGTCGTTGTAAATTTCTATCAAATTTTGACGTCTGTAAAATAATTTTATAATAATTATGATTGCTTATTTGTGTACCTAAATTATTGTCAAATTTTCATAATTTGTTATGACGTCTAAATACGAACAAAAATCAATACAATTTTGACATTTGTAAAATTGTTTTAATATTACAATTGTGTATTTGTATTTGTAAACAATTGTTAACAAATATCAATCAGGTTGCTCTGACAACATTAATAAAATTAAAAATAAAAATATTTATTAAAATTATACTTACATTATTTGTATCAAAATATGCACAGATTTTTATTTCACTATATTTACACTGGTTTGTTTAATTTATTTTTCAAATTTGGTTAAGTTTTGTTAATAATTACTATTAAATTTTGTTATAATTTAGTTACGAATAATTTTGGTTTCAATAGATCTAATTCATTTGTTTTTGTTTAAATAATTGCATACTAGATAAATCCATTTAAAAAAGGGTATGATTTTAATTTATAATTTTGTACGACCGTTAGAATTTGTTAGAAATTTTGGAATTAGGTTCCTCTTACCCTCAAGTTCAAAAGTGAAAACAATTCTGGTTGCGCCATCACTCCCCGGGAGATGACACTCCTTCTCAATTGTGTAATTACATTTTTTCAAAATAACGTCGGAAATCGATAGAAGAACTAATTATAAGAAAAAAATGCCTTTTATAGTTTTTCAAAAAAACTAATACTTTTGAAGTTACTGGCCACTAAAGATTCATATATTTTTGGCGTTTTTCTTCGTTTTTTGCAAATATCTCCTAAAATATACATTTTAACGAAAATCATGTAATGAACAAAATAATGTCAATAAAAATCTTAATAAATCGGTATTACATAAAGTGTTCTAGGAAAAATATTAAGCAAGATTTAAAAGAGCAAAGTCGTTTTTTATTTCGTTCAAGATTTAATTGTTGAATTTAAAGCCATCTAGTGTCGAGGTTTTACATTTTATGCATTTCGGTGAAATTGGGTTTTATAGTGCTCAACATAAGCTCTAAAATGAGTGCTGTTACAAGTTTTTGCGTGTAAAATGAGTGAGCTATCATGCAAATAAGAAGCATATACGAAGTTTTTTTATTTTAAATCATATGGTTTAATGAGCGCCATTTCCACCAGAATTAAAGTAATTCACATTCCATCTACAATTCATTTCATTATAGACATATTGATGGATTCTAGCAGATTCACTACTTTAGTACAAACTATTTTTAAAAAACTCACGATTTTATAAAAACTTTTTTTTAGTGAAAAAAAACATTTGGCATGTGACTTTTCAGATGAAATGAATGCATAAATGTCTTTTTGCATATATTGCATTCATGTGGGCGTTCTTCATTGTGCTTCAGCATGTGACTTTTCAGATTACCTAATTGTGTGAATGTCTTATTGTGTAAGTGACTTTTAGATTACCTAATTGACTGAAAGTCTTATAACAGATTTCGCATTTGAAAGAACTTTCTTTGCTATGACTAGGCATATGATTGGTCATATGCTCTTTTAAATGACGTGATTCTACATAAGTTGATATTTCGACTAACTCCTTTTTGACTTCTTCTTCAATTGTCACCTCGGAATTCATGAATCTTTCTAAACATGTATCATCTTCAGAACACGATTCAGATTTAACAATAACGTCGGGATCATCAAAATCATCCACTATTTCGAGTTTAATGTCTTTTGGCGAATATTCTGGTGGTTCAATTTGCTTGATCATTCATAGGCGTAATTGTTTCCTCCGACATTTTCAAATATTTTCACACAAAAAGTACAAAATAGTTGTGTGCTAAATAATAGTCTACTTTTGTCTATAATTTTTTTTAATATTGTTGTGCCCGCTGCACGACACTATATTCCTATATACAGTGTGCACACCACTAGCTAGTACAGGCGAAGAATATCGGAGATACCCGAAGATAACCGAAGGAGGAAGACCTAAGAGGCTCATCGAATACTCACTCTCTTCCTTGGCAACTAGCGGCGATACTAAACTACTAAATTCAGTTAATTACATAATTATACAAACTACATCTAATATTCATCAAAAGTTGTTCTGTTAGTGTTAATAAATTATTTGTAAGTTAAAAGGACTTTCTTGAGTTTGAATTTATAATTATATATCCTCGAAATAATCTCCGCTGAAGGCAACAACAAGCTGTAGTATATCACTGTTAAAGCAGTGAAATATACGAAGCACAACAATATAATAAATCATTTCAACTTAATTTTCATTACATTTACTTTTTGGCATTTGAAGCATAGAGAGTATATTGCTAGAAACATGAGACATTATTTGCCGAGGCGCGCCTTTTCAAATTCAATATGGTTCCCTATGTTTCTACTCTCTCTACTGCTACAAACAAACTCTATGCTTCAAATGTCAAATAACATAGATCATATTGAAAATAATTATTGATAAAACTATTTAGCACGCAACTATTTTGTAACTTTTTTTGTTAGTATAAGCAGTAAAAATATTTAAAAATGTCGGAGAAAACAATTATGTCTATGAATGATCAGGCAATTAAAATTGAACCACCAGAATATTCACCAGAAGACATTAAATTCGAAAAAGAGGATGGTTTTGATAATCCCGATGTTAGTGTTAAATCGGAATTGTGTGCTGAAGATGATAATACGTGTTTACAAAGATTCATGAATTCCGAAGTGACAATTGAAGAAGAAATCAAACAGGAGTTAGTCGAGTCCTCAATTTATGAACGTGACATTTGCAATAGAAAATTTGCAGAATCAAATCATTTAAAAGAGCATATGGCCGATCATATTGCTAATAATAGCAAAGAATGTCCTTTCAAATGCGAAATCTGTTACAAGGCTTTTAATCGATTAAGTGTTCTGAAAAGGCACATGCTCATTCACAGTGGTGAGCGCGCCCATGAATACAGTATATGCAAAAAGACATTTACGCATTCATTTCATCTGAAAACTCACATGCTGATACACAGTGGAGTACGTCCCCATGAATGCGATACATGCAAAAAAACATTCACGCGATCAGGTAGTTTAAAAAATCACATGCTGATGCATAGTGGAGTACGTCCCCATGAATGCAATATATGCAAAAAGAAATTTACAGAATCAGGTCATCTGAAACGTCACATACTGATTCACAATGGAGTACGCCCTCATGAATGCAATATATGCAAAAAGAAATTTACACAAACAAGTAATTTGAAAAGGCACATGCTGATTCATAAATGAGAGCATACTGATAAATGTGAAGTATGTAATAAGGAATTTACTCAATCGAAGGATTTGAAGGGACACATGGCACTTCACAGTCAGAAGCATGGTGAAGATCAATGAAACATAAGCATATTTGTGCACTTAAATTTAAATATTGTAAAATTTTCTTGCATGTAGAAATAGTATGAAATGTACAGTACACATTACATAATATCAATATTATTTCATAATTTTTTATTCATAATTTAATTTTTATAAATTAATTATTATTAATGTGGATTAGTAACCATTGGTTTCAGGTTCAAATACAAATTGGTCAGGAGTAGCTTTAACTTTCTAAGACCGTATTTAATTTTAAACAGATGTTTAGAAGTTATTATTATGAATTTTAAAAAATGTCTTTACACAGGGCAATATATACCAGAAATATGCCACATTAACTTTAATTTTTTTTTAAATATATAAACATAAATTTTTTGCCTGGGAAATGTTTTAGAAAATTTATTCAGCTATAACTTTGTCAAGGACTATATTTAGATATAATAAGTAATTTAAATGTTATTAGTAAAAACACGAAACAATGTCCTTGTTCCACAAAAGGGCCGACACGTTTTCAACATTATGCAAGTTTAAAATTATTTTAAAAATATAAGCAAGAATTTTACATAATTTTTGACTGAGAAAATGTTTTAGTGAATTTATTCAGCAATAACTTTGTCAAAGACTAGAGTTAGTTATAAAAAGTAATTTAACAGTTATTAATAAAATTCAAAACAATGTTTTTGTACAACAAAATGGCTGACACGTTTTCAACATTGTGGAGATTGTGGAAGTTTAAAAATATAAGCACAAACTTCACATCATTTCTGTCTGAAAAAATGTTTTATAGAATTTATTCAGCTACATTTTTTTAAAGATAGTATTAAGTTATAAATAGTAATTTAAAAGTTATTAATCAAAATACAGAAAAATGTCTTTGTACCACAAAATAGCCGACACGTTTTCAACATTATGCATGTTTAGAAATATTTTAAAAATACACGCACGAATAGCAGTCAGCTATAGCTTTGTCAAAAACTGTTTTTAGTTACAATAAATAATTTAAAAGTTTTTAATAAAAAATACAAAACAATGTCTTTGTACAACAAAATGGCCGACAAGGTTTCAACAATATGTAAGTTTTAAAACATTTTGTGCAGTTATTTTCATAGTACCCCGCAATTACGAGAACTAGACTTGAAATAGTTTTATCTTTTATTTTCAACTGTGCTTGAATTCGGCGGTGTTCTAGTGTTAATAAGTTTGTTAATGACTACAGAATACTGTAACGTAATTACGGTATATGTTTTTTTTTTTAATTTTTAACCCTAATAATTGGATTTGAAGTGACTACTATTTTGCAAGAAAGTACACGATTTTTTCACTTATTTGCATTATTATACAATGAAATTGTATAAGGTTTATGACCTAGAATCATAGAATATCGTAATGATGAGATAATCATTTGTTTCTACCTTCTCATCTATGATCAATTATTTCTGTTATATAAATTGAATAAAAGTACAGGTAAACCCAGTATAGCGCACGGTACTTATAGGACACGGGTTCACGGGTTTAAATTTTATATTTATTTTAAGTTCATATTTTTGTTTAATCGACGTTAAAAATTATTCCTTTGTTGTTTCATTTCTTTGATTTACCGAATCATTCAGTATTGATAATGATTATTATACTATTACTATAATAATACCAGCTTTTATTTTATTTTTATTTTAGAAGTCTCTCAACTTCTTATATTTTTATGATTGTTATAAAACTATATTAATGTTTAAAATTATATCAAAATATTATTTATTCGAATAAACCATATTTTTAACTTCCCGAAGGAGAAGTTTATGTTCTCCTTTATACTTGTTTATCTATGATGTTCTCATCAAAAAATCCGATTCGCTAATTTTATGTTTTCTCGACGTTTCAAGTCATTCTGAATCTAATGAGATCAAATTTGAAAAAAGTATGTGTGTGTGCGTGTGTATGAACAGATTTATTATCGTAAATCGACGTTTTCTCAAAAACGGCTGGACCTATTTTAAAAATTTAAAAGCCATTCGCTGTATCTCGATGAGGACTATTATTTGTCAGTTTTGTGCGACGATCGGCCAAGCCGTTTCTTTATAAATAGCAGAAAAGTGAAACATTTTTCGTCCACGTTTTAGCCCGTAATTCTGAATCGATTCTGAAAATTCAAAACAGTAGATACCATAGGCTTCTAGATCATACTAAAATATTACCGCACTACGACAACTCGTTTAGCTTTAAAAATTTGTCAAATTTTGCAAAAATTGGTATCGTTTATTTCGCATTTGTCAAAATTAGAATTTTCTTCGACGTTTTCTCAAACAAAAGACCAGTCTGGGATGCATAAAAACATTTCCTTCGCTAAACAAAAAAAAAAAACACACCCACATACTTTTTCCAAATTTGGTCTCATTCGATTCAGAATGGCTTGAAACGTCGAGAAAACATAAAATTAGCAAATCGGATTTTGTTATGAAAACATAAACTTCTCCTTTGGGAAGTTAACAAGACCACAAATTTGCTGTAAAAAATATATAATGAGAAACAAACATTTTTTTCATTCAAAAAAGATATAATTCAATATATAAAATTGATACTTGAACGTTTAAAGTATGTATTTTAAATGAAACGCTGAATTTGAAGCACACCAACACCATTTGTGATATGCTGAAAACACTAATACAGAGTAAAGCGCATGCTTACCCCTCATGAAGTAGATTCTGTAAATATTTTAACTACATTTATGACGTTTTAAATAATATTGTGCCCGGAAGCCCTTGTTACATATTTCACATATATACGGGCATACTCCAGAATGAATACGCATGTGTACTTTCAAAACACTGGGTCTAGGAAAAGTTTTTTCGCATATTCCACATTGATGAGAGCTAACTCTAGTATGGGTGAAGATATGCATTTTCAAACCCCTCGCTTGTCTGAATTTTTTGTTGCAAAATCCACACTTATGTGAACGCTCTCCAGTATGAATTAACATATGCTCACTTAAACCACCTGATTGTCTGAATGTCTTATTGCAGATTTGACATGTATGTGGACGCTCTCCGGTATGACTAATCATATGTCGTTTTAAATGACATTTTAAACAAAATTCTGCACTGCATATTTCGCATTTAAAAGGACGATCAGGATGGATACTCATGTGTGCTTTTAAAATACTTGATGTTGGGAAAGCCATACCGCATATTAAACACTTATGCGGACGTATCCCAGTATGGGTCATCATATGCTGATATAAACCAGCAGTTTGTGTGAATGTTTCATTGCAGATTTCACATTTGTGGAGACGTTCACCAGTATGAATAAGGTTGTGAAGTTTTAAATTATGTATTGTAAGAAATGTCTTATTACAAATTTCACATTTAAAAGTATTTTCTTCACAAGGAATTTCATTGCTTGTTCCGTGCAACAAAAGTTCTCTTTCGTGAGTGCGCATATGTTGTTTTAATTTAGTTGATGAATAGAACACTTTGTTACATATTCCACATACTACATTATGATTAAGCATATGTATTTTCAGAGTGCTGGATTGTGTAAAAGTCTCTTTACATAATTCACATTTATGAGCAGTATGAGCACGCAATTTCCTTTTTAGATTACCAGATTCATTAGGCTGCTCTTCGGTATGATCACAAACGTGTTGATCTAATATAAATTTTGTAGCAAATGTTTCATTACAGATTTTGCAAACAAATGGTTTTTCATTGGTATGATTTTTGATTGCTGACTTACGATTATGAACTACCGAGTGCCGTTTTAAATCATCTAGTTGAACAAACGACATACTACATATGTCACATTTATAAAAAGAAGTCTCACCCATTTCTTGTTCGACATCGTCCTCTATTTTTACCTCAGCATCCATAAATCTTTCCAGACATGTTTCCTCATTTTCAATTTCACGTTTAACTTCTTCGATTAAAAATTCTGGTGCTTCTGTTTTAATTGTCTGCTCATTCATAAATACAATTGTAGCTTCAGGCATTTTTAGATTTTTCACTGCGCATATTTAACAAATATAGAAAAAAATGTTGCAGAACTATTTAATAATCAATTTTTATTAATATTATTTTATTTAAGCATATTAATATTTATTATATTCACTTTTATGAAGAGGTTAGTAGTTTGACATTTGAGTTGACATTTGGAGCATAGAGTATATTTTTAGAAAGACGTTACATCTTTCTTGTTATTCGGTACGTGTGTGACTAAACATTTAATTTCAACCATTGTTAAACTCTTCTTTTATCTATGGTTAAACTGTTAAAGTGTTATGTACTGCAAACAGATTTATTAATTTTAAACTAATATTTAGGAATAAAGGTGCGTCCACACCTAACGAACGAACATAAACAAGCAAGAATTGCGCACCAGAACGAACAGCAACGAGCGTACTGTGGCGCCACAAAGGTCACGAACGAACATAAACAAACATGGCGAGCCATGTTCCGCAGCTTGTCGGTACATCAAAGGGAATTGTTCGTTCATGTTTGTTCTCGTATGTGCAGAGTGGACGCTACCACGAATGTAGACAAACATTTTTCTTTTTTTATGTTAAAATGTGCATTATTGCATTAATTTATGTTGTGTTTATTATAAGATATTGCTGTTATTAACAAATTTTGCAAATTTGATGACTTTAAATAATTTGGCTCTTTCCCGCCACTTTAAATAATAAATCTGACGTTTCACGGTACATCCTCGAACAAAAAGATTCAAGCCCTCACTACTTTGAGGCGTTTGTTTGGAATTATTCGCGTTCGTTCGTGTTCCTGTTCGTTCTTCTTTGTATTTTCTTGTTCGACATGTTCGTTCGTGCTCGTTCGTTATTTCGTTATTTGTTAGGTGTGGCGCACCTAAGCAAACATGGCGAGCAAAGTTCAGGTGCGCCACACCTAACGAATATTAGTTTATGGCAAAGGCGGTTTTGGAGATACAGAGCTAAATGTGCAAAAAATGGTAGTTTTTGAGAGAACTAAGCGTCCGATTTGAATAATTCAAAGAACTTTCTGTTTGTTTTAACAAAATAATTGACTTCGGAAAAAAAATTTCGTTTCAAAATTTTTTTTTCAAAAAAAAAATTTTTTGTATATCGAAAATAATTGAGACTTTTATTTTAATTCTGTTCTAATATACTTTGAACAAAATATTATTTCAAATAAAATATGATTAAACAATAATTGGCAGCAATGTTTTTATTTATTCTATTGACAATACTATTTTACTCGCTGAACAATACTGCCTCAATTTAGATAAATATGAAAAATATAAATAAAATAAAATTTCAGTATGAATACGAATAGATTTCAATATTCCGCAGTATATATAATTCTATTTATTATTTACCATTTTTTTGTACTTCATGAAAATTATATCATTTCAAGTAAACATTTTAAGTAAAATTTGACAAATAAAAAATAATTAATTATTTATAGTCACATTTTGATTAAAATATAATCAGTCTCATTTGTTTAAATTAATTTATTGGGAAATGCTAATGTTAAAATATTTTTTTGAATTATTTGATTATTGTATTATTTAATTATTATATTTTAATGATTAATATATAATATATATATATATATATATATATATAATATATTATTTATTAATTATAATATATTTCAGAAATTACGTTTTTATTTCAACACGATATGTTTTTGCACATGATGGTTCGAATATGGTTCGAAATTCTATTAAAAGTTTCAAATCATTGATCAACTTTTATTGATTATTATTGATTATTTTTAATTACTCAAATTTTGAACTGCGGTACGGGAAGTTCCAGCAATTTGCCTCAAGGCACGATGCCCTAATTGCCTTAAGACAGAATTCCACTTACAGCTAGTTTTTTTTGTATATCGAAAATAGCTCACTCATATACTCTAAATAAATAATTTTAACTTTGTTATTCAGTTTATATAATTCTTATAAATAAACATTATTTATAATAATCTATTTGAAAACATTTAATATTCCTCGAACATTTCGTTACGGTACGGGAAGTTCCAGCAATTTGCTATAAGGCACGATGCCATACACAACTAGTATTAATTATATTATTATTAACTTCCCGAAGGAGAAGTTTAAGTTTTAATCAAAAAATCCGATTTGCTAATTTTATGTTTTCTCGACGTTTTAAGCCATTCTGAATCGAATGAGACCAAATTTGGAAAAAGTATGTGTGTGTGTGTGTGTGTGTGAACAGATTTTTTGCCGTAAATCGACGTTTTCTCAAAAACGGCTGGACCGATTTCAAAAATTTAAAAGCCATTCGGTGTATCTCGATGAGGATTATTGTTTGTCAGTTTTGTGCAACGATCGACCAAGCCGTTTCCTTATAGATAGCAGAATAGTGAAAAAAAAATCGTCCACGTTTTAGCCCGCAATTCTGAATCGATTTTGAAAATTTAAAAACCGTTCGAAAGATATTGGTTGGGAATCGTGCTGATTAGTTTTTGGTAGAGATCGGCAGGGCCGTTTTCTTGTAATAACGTGTTAAAGAAAAATTTTCGAAGATTTTTATTATTATTTTTTTGGCGGTAGATACCATAGTCTTCTAGATCAGGCATCGGCAACCTACGGCACGCGTGCCAGGCTTTGGCGATCGGACGAGCCGGTTGTTTGAAATTAGAATAAAAAAGCAAAAATATTACGTTTTTGGAATAAAGCCAGAAACCGATTTTTAAATTGAAAAAAGATTTCTGAAAGATATCAATTAGGAGTCAAAATATTTGACAATTTTAAAAATTCATCAAAGTTTGATAAAACTTCATAGTCAAAATTTGTGTTAAAAGGCGCTTTTGTGATGTGATAAATCAAAATTTAATTTTCAAAAACGCCTGAACTGATTTCACAAATTAAAAAGACATTGGACTAAACTCGATAAATAGAACCGAGATATTCAAAAATTTCGCTTTTTTTTTAATTCTAAAATAATTCGATTATTTGAAAATTTTAGATATTTTAATTTTTAACTTCCCGTAGGGATAACTATCGCAAAAAAATCGAAAATGAAAATTTTTATATATCTTTGCGTTTCAGAGGTTTCTGAACATTTTGGCATACCTTAGAAAAAAATGGATGTATGTGTGTGTGTGTGTGTGTGTGTGTGTATGTATGTATGTATGTGCGTGTGTGTATGTATGTGCGGATACAAATTTTCGTCGACGATTTCGGGAACACGGATCAACCGATTTGAATAATTCAAAAAACATTCGATTCGTATTGATAAGGAGACGTGCTGATTAGTTTTTGGCAAAGACAGGTCTAGCCGTTCCAAAGATACGGGGCAAAAAGTGCCGAAAACGGTAACTCAGTTTTTAAGAGAACGGAGTGTCCAATTTGAATAAGTCAAAAAACATTTTACTTGTATTGACAAGATGAAGAATTGACCAAATTTTCATAAAGGCAGGTCTAGCGGTTTCGGAGATCTAATGAAAAAAGTAAAAAAAAATGCCATTTGGCGGTCAAAAATGATCATTAGACATATGCACATCAAATTATCAGATATTTTATAGAGATTTTAACAATAAGTATGAATTTTGTTTACATTCCTATGGGTTCCGTACCAATGTTTACGCGTTAGACGGCGACGCGGCGCTTACGCGCAAATTATGCCGCCCTAGGCCCGGGTCTAACGGGCCTTTGGGGTAATCGGGCACTGTTTATATTAGATATTCATGTTATTTGTTAATAAATATGTTTAAAAGATAAATTTGGTTATAATTCTTCTCCCCTAAAACCTAACTATATATTTCAAAATTAAGGCGGCACTCTAAAACATATTGGTAGAGTGGCTTGGCACACTACAGTTAAAAGCTTGCCGACCCCTGTTCTAGATCATACTAAAATATTATGGCCCTACGACAACTCGTTTAATTTTTGGCATTTGTCAAAATTAGACCTTTGATGAACGTTTTCTCAAAAACTCCTGAACCGATTTCAGAAATTTAAAAGCCATTTGATGTATCTCAATGAGGACTATCGTTCGTCAGTTTTGTGCGACGATCTGCCATACCGTTTCTTAGTAATTTGGAAAAAAGTGGTAAACCTTTCCGTCCAAATTTAAGCTCATACTACCGAATCGATTTTAACAAATCAATAATTGTTCGAATGATATTAGTTGGGAATGATACTGATTAGTTTTAGGGGAAAATCTACCGAACTGTTTTCTTGTAATTAACTGTTGAAAGAGAAATTCAAGATGATTTTTATGGAACTCTGTTTGGCGATATATATATCATAGCCTTATAGAACTTACTGAAATATTACGGCCTTACGACAAGTAGTTTAATTTCAAAAATTCATCAAAGTTTGAGAAGTGAGTAATTTTTTGACGTTTGTTAAAACTAAAATTAGACGATTTACTTGGTATAACAATAGAGTACTTGGTCTTAATGAACATCATACTAAATCATTAAAGTCCTACGGTAACTGGTTCAATTATAAAAATTGTTGATTTTTGAAAATTTGCTTTTAGAAAATACTCCGAGTTAACGTGATCATTATGTGTAATAAATCCACTCGGAATACTTTTAATCACTCATAAGTTAATTTATTTTTTAATAATTAAATCGATTATTTATACATTTCGGGAAGTTCATGTAACTTGCCTCAAGGCAAAATACCAACTAGTTAACTTCCCGTAGTTATAGTAATCGCAAAAAAATCGAAAATGAAAATTTTTATATATCTTTACGTTTCAAAGGTTTCTGAACATTTTGGCATACCTTAGAAAAAATTGATGTATGTGTGTGTGTGTGTATGTGTGTGTATGCATGTACGTGTGTGTATGTATGTGCGGATACAAATTTTCGGGAACACGGATCAACCGATTTGAATAATTCAAAAAACATTCGATTCGTATTGATAAGGAGACGTGCTGATTAGTTTTTGGCGAAGGCAGGTCTAGCCGTTCCGAAGATACGGGGCAAAAAGTGCCGAAAACTGTAACTCAGTTTTTAAGAGAACGGAGCGTCCGCTTCAAATAATTCAAAAAACATTTCACTTGTATTGACAAGATGAAGAATCGATAAAATTTTCATAAAGGTAGGTCTAGCGGTTTCGGAGATATAGAGGAAAAAGTAAAAAAATTAGCCATTTGGCGGTCAAAAATGATCATTAGACATATGCACATCAAATTATCAGATATTTTATAGAGATTTTAACAATAAGTATACGTTTTGTTAACATTCCTATGGGTTCCGTACCAATGCTTATGCTTTAGACAGCGACGCGGCGCTTACGCGCTTTATATTTTGTCCCTATGCAGTTAAATCAGTACGATTGCTTTGAAAAAAAAGTTCAGATCTTCCACAATATGTCAAAATAAAGAAAAAAAATTTTTTTTTTCAAAAAAAAAAAATTAAAAAAAAAAAAAAATTTAATTTTTTTTTTTTTTGAAAAGTAATTTTTTGTCCATATATATAGTTTCTCAAAAATCTTATTTTTTCAAAGTACATTTTTTTCAAAAATGTTAATCGTTTTTAAAAAATTAATAATTTTTGGTACGGGAAGTTCTAGCAATTTGCCTTAAGGCACGATGCCTTAATTGCCTTAAGACAGAATTCCACTTACAGCTAGTTTAATTATATATTTGAATAAATGAATGTCTATGTGTGTGTGTGTGTGTGAATAAGTAAAAGATATTCACTACTAGTTACTTTATATTTCATTGTTTACTTTGACTTGTTTATTGCCTGCATATTTTACTTAATTCACATTTGCACTTGATATAGAACAATTATAATCTCACCATTCCTTAACACATCAATCATAAATTATATTAGAACATTATTAAATTTTCATAATCAAGAGTAACCAATATGCTATCTTCTTTATTTTTCATTCTTGTATTTTTGTTATGTTCAGACATTTTTTATTTCAATATGTAAAAAAATTCATTATTTCAGTTCATATAAGTGTTTCTTCTTATAATTTCTAAAGACAGCAAACATTTGAAAATTCTTGATGCTGTTTCTTCATTACGATGAAATAATAAATTTCATACAATTATATCAGTTTTTTGAAATTACATTCGATTGTTGAAACTTCTGTATCCATATTACTTTTTCCTTTATCGTGTGCATTTTGTTTAAAATGATTCCCTGATATTTGCTGCTATTTTCATTTTGTTTAAAATGATTCCTTGATATTTTCTTATTTCATTTTCTTGAAATGTTTTGCCTACATGAAAATGCAGAATTAATATATGAATATAAAATCAGTATAGATTACTATTACTATTTAATCGACTTCTGAAGTAAAACTTCTTTAGGCGCGACTAGGGTGTAAATCCGTACAAATGCAACGGAAAAAGCGTTACGGCCGAGACGAGTGCCAATGATTCGTCATTCGCTCTCGATGAGATCATTTCTATACGGATCGATTGTTATTGGTCGTCGTGTCGCGTGAGTATGATTGCTTCGATTGTATAGTGAAAATAATAAAACAAATTAAAAATCCGACGTGTAAGAAACGTAAGCTTATTGAAGTAATTTGTATTATTCGTTGTTACTATATATTTTTGGGGTTATTAAAATGAAAATTAGTTTTATAAGCAAAACAGTTATTACAACTGCTCAAAAAATGAGACTGTATCGCCAGCAAAATAGTAAAAAACAAGCAGTCAATAAATGTATAATCAATTTTAATTCTCTTCAGCTCTTCAAACACAATTACATTATGAGTTTTATAGATATTAAAAAATATAAAAGCAGTACAGTTTTGTTCTATCATGCCAAAGTTATATCTTTTTCAGAATTATCTCAGACACTTTTGGAAGCTTAAAGGAAATCTACATGTTTTTCGATCAAGATGGCTATTAAGTTTTAAAAAGTTTGCAATTTTTATAATTAATGAAGAATAAATTGATATTCAGATTTATTACTCTAAACATGATCAAGCACAATAATAGTGTAGCTGTGTAAATAAAATTTAAAATAATTTACTATATAAATATGTATAATGGTTGACATTAAAAAATGTGTACCATCACGATTGTTACCATATTACGAATAAACATTATTCAAAATTGTTATATGATATGTTTATTTTACTTAAATGCCATCTCGTACAATAGCAAAAAAGTTTAACTTCATTCGCTTGTGAACCTTACGCGCACTCTTTTTTTATATATTTTATATTTTATTGAATTTTTATTATACAACTACTTTTTGTAGGACCATAATATTTTAGGATATTTGTTTAGGCCATGAATTTTTTTTAACAATAATAATAAACTTATCATATTAATAATAAACAAGGAAGGTAAAAAAAATCATTGATTTCGTGGTGCTCTCATACTATGAACCTGCCTTTGGGCAGACTACTATTTACATTGTAAGTCGATCTAAAGAACTTTTCTCTATCTCAGTTTTAGTCATGTTGTGTCTCATTTAAAAGATCTCATCGAGTACATTGCAATTTTCAGAATAATTTTGATGTGTTCTCATTGTTTTTTGTTAGTTTAGTTCTTTTTCTCGTTTTCGATCTAAAAAGTTTTACTTCAAATTTTCTCTGTCTCAGATTTAGTCATGTTGAGTCACATTTAAAAGGTCTCATCAAGTACATTGCGATTTTCAGAATAATTTTGATGAGCTCTCATTGTTTTTTGTTAGTTTAGTTGTTTTCCTTGTTTTCGACCCAAAAAAGTTTCACTTCAAATTTTCTCTGACTCAGTTTTAGTCATGTTGGGTCTCATTGAAAAGGTCTCACCGAGTACATTACGATTTTCAGAATAATTTTGATGTGCTCTCATTGTTTTTTTATAGTTTAGTTCTTTTTCTCGTTTTAGATCTAAAAAGTTTTGCTTCAAACTTTCTCTGTCTCAGTTTTAGTCATGTGGGGTCTAATTTAAAAGGTCTCATCTAGTACAATGCAATTTTCATAATAATTTTGATGTACTCTCATTATTTTTTGTCAGTAGAGTGCTTTTTCTCGTTTTAGATCTAAAAAGTTTTACTTCAAATTTTCTGTCTCAGTTTTAGTCATTTGGGGTCTCATTTAAAAGGTCTCATCGAGTACAATACGATTTTCAGAATAATTTGGATGTGTTCTCGTTTTACCATTTTGTTTTATGTGAGAACAGTACATTTTCCCACACCTCGGATAGCCTGATAACAAGCAGTATGATATCAGTTTTCACTTGAAAATATAAATAAAACTATATTTTCAAGTTCGGCATTGCTTAATCAAATTAAAATTATATTATCAGTATTAGAATAATTCGAATAATAAAATATAAAGAGACCTACCCGTTTAGAGTTGCCTTCTAAAAAACGACATTAAAGAGAAGTATCATGACAACACAACAGCTCATAGGACTCATACATTTTTTATAGCAGTTCACAAAACAAATGTGTCTCTCACCCGATATTCCTAATTTTTAGTGAATCGTCTCCTGGCTGCATGTTTTGCAGCATCCTGCAGACGCTGCTCCTCCTCCCTGGTGTCATGGGCTCTCAAATCGTAGCAGGTGCCAACGTTCACAGCATTATTGTTGTTGGCAGAAACCTAGAGATAATATTTTATTGTGAATAAATGAATAGATTAGGTGTAAGTGACATTTTGCTTTAGTAAATAATAATCCTAATAAGAAATGAATCTATCGAGTTGCCATATATCCTTATACTTAAGTGTATAGTATCTCTCTAGTATCTTTCTAGTATCAATTGATATTAGAAAGAAACTATTGCGGTATATTAATTTTTCTACAAATTCGTCAAACATACAATAGTTATATTTGATGATTAGTTTAAATGTTAATTAACCCTCTGGGGATCGTTCAAGTATTATGTAAGCAGATTTATTACATTTATTTACCCCCCGATCCCCCTTGTCAGCAGAACCCCCTCTTACCCCCTACCCCCATGCTTACGTAAACATTTTGCAATTAATGTAAAAAAATAAAAATACTACCTATGACGTAATCATCATCCAGACTACCCCGCCCCCCATATCAACCCAAAATAAGCAAATCAACAAACCCCCCGCCTCACTATAGTAATACTTGAACGGCCCCTTGCATTCGCGAATTGCGAGATTAATATGTATTTCCGGTGGCATCCGAGTGGAAAGGGTTAAATTAACGAAAAATGTGTGAAATTGTTGCCCCTTCACAAAACACTTATTTTTGCCTTCCTATAAATATATATGAATAGTTGGGCAGATTTTCCTGTGATATCAGTATCATCTCTGGTTGCCAAAGAGACTGGCTCAAAAAAGCTTGTTTCTTAGTCTCATTTGCCGTTTATTTTCGAGTATTTTCGCTACTCTTCGTTTAGTACACCCCTTATTTCACTTCAAGTTGCACTTATGGTAATTATACAGAAATTTTAGTCCAATGTAAGGAACCGATTCTGTCGCAAAACAGAAAAATGTTATGGCAAGGCCATTTCACGATCCACCTTCCATACATGATGCTACTGAATCATACTGAATACTGTCAAAATTATGTATATGCTGTGCATTCAGGCGTTTTACACATAAACTGCAACGTCACTCGTGTGTTATGAAGCTGGGTCAGAAAGACCCTGTTATATAACATCGTTTTTTTGACATTTGTGCGGTTTCTAAGTTAGATTTTCTATGTGACAATCTGAAAAATACACGTGACTGCACACTAACCACATGGCTTTTGTCAATATTTTGCATTGAAAGTTTTTTATAACATAGCCTTGCCATAACATTTTACAACGTAAATGTATAATGTAACCCACAACTTACATTATAAATTTTATTATTAACTTCCCGAAGGAGAAGTTTGTTTTCATAAAAAAATTCGAATTGCTAATTTTATGTTTTCTCGACGTTTCAAGCCATTCTGAATCGAATGAGACCAAATTTGGAAAAAGTATGTATGTGTGTGTGTGTGTGTGAACAGATTTTTTGCCGTAAATCGACGTTCTCTCGAAAACGGCTGGGCCGATTTCAAAAATTTAAAAGCCATTCGATGTATCTTGATGAGGACTATCGTTTCTAACGTTTTGGACGACGATCGGCAGAACCGTTTCTTTGTAAATCGCAGAAAAATGAAAAATTTTTCGTCCACGTTTTAGGCCGCAATTCTGAATCGATTTTGAAAATTTAAAAACTGTTCGAAGCATATTGGTTGGGAATCGACCTGATTAGTTTTTGGTAAAGATCGGCCGGGCCGTTTTCTTGTAATAGAGTGTTAAAAAAAAATTTCGACGATTTTCATACATTTTTTTGACGGTAGATACCATAGTCTTATAGATCATACTAAAATATTACGGTCCTATGACAAGTAGTTTAATTTTAAAAATTCGTCAAAGTTTGCAAAAATTAGCGTTGTTTTTTTGACGTTTGTCAAAATTAGAACTTTCATCGACGTTTGCTCAAAAACGCTTGAACCGATTGCATAAATTTAAAAGGCAATCAATGTATTTTAATGTGGATTATCTTTTCTCAGTTTTGTGCCGCGATCGGCCGAGCAGTTTCTTTGTAATTTGAAAAGAAGTGTTAAACTTTTCGTCCACATTTAAGCTCATACTACCGAATCGATTTTATAAAATCAAAAACTGTTCGAAAGATATTATTTGGGAATGATACTGATTAGTTTTAGGTGAAAATCTACCGAGCCGTTTTCTTGTAATTAACTGTTGAAAAAAAAAATTAAGCTGATTTTTATGGAATTTTTTTTGGCGATTTATTTCATGGTCTTATAGAACTTACTGAAATATTACGGCCTTACGACAAGTAGTTTAATTTTAAAAATTCATCAAAAAAATGAGTAGTTTTTTGACGTTTGTTAAAATTAAAATTAGATGATCTACTTGGTATAGCGATACAGTGCTTAGGGTTAATGAACATACTAAAACATTAAAGTCCTACCGAAACTGGTTCAAATATAAAAATGGTTGATTTTTGAAAATTTGCTTTTAGAAAATAATCCGAGTTAACGTGTTCGTTCGTTTTTAATTATGGGTAATAAATCCACTCAGAATACTTTTAATCGCGCATAAGTTAATTTATTTTTTATTGAATAAGTAGGTTATTTACACATATTGGGAAGTTCATGTAACTTGCCTCAAGGCTGAATACCAAACCAACTAGTTTTTTATTGACATTTATAAGATAATTAGAATTTAAATAGTAAATGTTATGAGAATCTGCCAAAAAACTTGTTAATGGGAAATTTAAAGCAACATTTTGACTAGAATCTTAAAAGAACCTTAATGGAATCCTACTTGCCTACATATATACAAAAATAAGTCGAATTTTCCTTCCGACTTGACAAAATTGCTGGAACTTCACGCACCGTAATTAAAAATTCGAGTAATGAAAATATACAATAATTGTTTTAAATAATTTCAAATAGATTATCTACATATATATAAAAATAAGTCGGGTTTTCCTTCCTGACGATATAACTCCAGAACGCACGAACTAAATTCGTCAATTTTGCATTCGTTGGAAAGGTCTCGGGCTCCGCAAGGTTTATAGCTAAGAAAATTAGTTGTGCATGGCATCGTGCCTTAATGCAAATTGCTGGAACTTCACGCACCGTAATAAAAAATTCGAGTAATGACATTAGTAAGAATTATCAGAATTATGCTTGGTTAAGTCAACGAGCAATTCTAGCCGCAAAGAATAATGATGAACACGCACTGAATTTCACCATTCAATCAAAAATTGCTATCGATTTGGGGACATACCAATGATTCCGACTGGTCTTCTGTTTGACTTCAAACGATTGCAATTTCCAGTTCGCCTTGCGTTCGCAATAACAAGTCGCAAGGCCAATCGCTTAGTGTTTTCGGGAAAAAGTTCAAATAGATTAATTAGAAAATCATTGTTTTTCACATAGGCAGTTATACGTTGCCTACACACGAGTTAGAGAACCATCCGCTTTGTTTGTGTTAACGTCAGACCAAAAAATAAAAGTGTGGTTTACCAAAGAGCACTTCAGTGAAACGGATAGTTTGCGGATTCACTTTCATTTACTTAGAGAAGTTCAACTAAAAAACACTTCATTTCATTCATTACTGTTGTGTAATAAAATTAAATTTTTCCTTTTCAAATATAAAACAAACAAAAAATTTCTTCATCTTTCACACGAAACCAACTGGTGGCGAAACGGAATTCGTCGAGTTTGCTAGTATATTATACAAATTTTACAAAAATTGATACATTTTACCAATGCAAGTTAAATGAACCGCTCGAAAGTGTATAGCAATCTGACTTAATAAAAAAGAATTGATATTTAGCTTTTTAGATAAAACTTTCACATGTTTTTTTTTAAGTATTTATATTATTAACATCCCGGTTATTAATGATATGACGAATTTACTGAATGTCGGTCGTTTTTTCCTACAATATGCAGGCTAAGATTTAACCATACATACACTCCGTTTCACCTGAGTAGAATTGGGATCAATACCGATCCTAGTTGCTATTGCTTGGGTGGAGTGACTAGGGCGGATGCTGAGCACGCCATTATGGTGTGCAAAAAATGGAAAAAGGGCAGGCAAGAAGTAAAGAGGGAGACAGTAAGGCAAAAAATATCTCCGAACTAATTTTATAACTGTGATTCCTATGGATGAGGGATTAGTATGTGGCCAAGCCAATTCCAGCCGCAAAAAGTGCCAAAAATGGAATTGGAGTGTCCGATTTCAAGATTTCAAAAAACATTTTACTTGTATTGACAAAATGAAATGAAATTTTTGGAAAGGCAGTTCTAGCGGTTTCGGAGACCCAAATAAAAAAGTAGAAATAAATGCTTTTTTTATTAAAAATGATCATTAGATTAGATATGCATATCAAATTATCAGATATTTTATAAAGTTTTTCATAATGAGTACCAATTTTGTATTCATTTCTATGGGTTCCGTATCAAGATTAATTATGTTTACGCGCTCCTACGTTTCGTCTCTAAAACAGCTACGCATCGCGACTGCTTTACAAAAAAATCACAATTTTCAAAAGATTTCGAAATAACCAAAAAGAAATCAAATTTTATAAAAAGTTCTTTATTTTAAATTTCAAATTATCAAAAAGTTTAAAAAAAAATTTAAAGCTTTTAGGAGTTTTAAATTACGGTGCGTGAAGTTCAAGCAATTTGCCTTAAGGCACGACGCCAATCAGCCACCACTAGTTATTACTGCCATTTCATAAGCCTATAGTATTTTCGGATGTTCGTATAAACCAAAACCCTATCAACAATTGGGAATTTGAAAAAAAAATTATATATTTATTTTTATGCGCTTTAAAACTACATTATTAAATTTATTGATATGTGATGAAAGAAAAAACAAAAAAAATGTTTTTTCAATTAGTTATCGGCGTTTAAAAATTGATTAAATTCAAAAATTAGTCATGTGACCGTTAACGCGCCACGATTGGCTACCGTGCCTGTGACGTCAGATTGTAATTGCAACCTCATAAAAGCGCAGTGCCGTTACTTTATCAGTGCAGTGCTTACGGTTATATTTTACGGAACTTGTAAAACACGTGGTAAATTCTCTTTTAAAAACGATTTTTTAAAGTTAATTTAGTTCAACTATGTGTGATATAGGATTTATAAAAGCAAATTCTGATAATGTTCCTAATATTGATATATTTATGGTAGCCGATTTTTTAAAAAATGATGTTCGGTTTAATTCTGCGGAAGTTCGAGGCGCCAAGGCATTGATGTAAGTCTGTTAGAAAATATTATAAATCACAATATTTAAGTATTAATTTTATATTGAATATAATTACCTAATAAATTAATTTTAGAGCATCGCGTGAAAGTTACTGCGACAAAGCTGTGGGTTATGCTCAACTTAGTCGTAAAAATGGAATTTGTATTTTAAAAGCACGTGTATCTCCAGAACATCGAGTTCAAAGCAAAGCCTATTTAGTTACATTAACAATTAATGAAAGGTTAAGAAAAGTTCAGGATATTAAATGCCATGACTGTGCAGCTTCAGCGGGTAATTAGTAATCCAATTAAATTCTAGTTATTGAATTAATGTTATAAATGAAAATCAATTTTATATCAAATGTACAGGTGGTTGCAAACATGCATTGGCATTACTTATGTGGACCCATCGCAGGAGCGAAGATCCGACACCTACAGAAGTTGATTGCTACTGGAAAAAGTCTAAATTATCAGGCGTAGGAACTACAGAAAAAGATATTCAAGCTGAAAAATTGACAAAAAAAAAACACAGTTACTTCAGTTGAAAATTTGCCAGATAACAATACATTTTTGAAAGAAGTAATTGAACTTGCCGAAAACCATCAAATAAACTGTCAAATCGGACAGTTAAACTTCGATATAAACTTGAAAAAAGCTGAATATCTCCCTTCCGCTTTTTTGCTCTTGGTTTATTATACAAAAAGGCGGAAGCGAGATATTTGGCAACCTTATAGTTTATCTTTGCACCGCATTATTTTTGATTTTAACAAAAATGATTCGCAAGTTCAAAATTTTTTAGAGTTCGCAAAGATTGCAATGAAAGAAGCTGTGTGCCAAGAGGCTAAAGAATTAACTAAACAACAAAGTGAGTGTGCAATTTGGCATGAACTTCGGTATGGACGCATAACGGCTTCAAAATTTTATGAAGCTGCTCATTGTAAAACTGGTAATGGGTCACTAGTACAACAAATTATTGGTGCTGGTGAAGTTTATCAAACCAAGGCTATGGCACGAGGAAAGAAGCTGGAAAAGAAAGTTATTGAAGTTCTGGAAAAAGAATTAAAAGTAGAAATTGCGCCTTCAGGAATTTATCTTTCGCCTAGCCATCCAGTGTTTGCAGCATCTCCTGATGGAGTAACTAGTGATGCTATAATTAAAATAAAATGTCCCTCAAGTCAAAAATCAAAGTACACTTTTTTGCCGAAGGGCAAAATAAGCTTAAAGTGTAATGCTCAAATGCAACTGCAAATGTTAATGACAGGTAAAAGAAAGGGAATCTTTTGTGTTGCCGATCAAAACTTTGAAGACAATCAAAAAATTTATGTTAGCGTATTAAAATATGATGATGCAAACACTCAAGATCTCATTAAAAAATGTATAGTATTCTGGTCCAAAAATATATACCCAAAGCTGTTCAACTCTGTACAAAGTTAAAAAAGTTAAAGTCTTAATTAGTTATTATTCAATATATTTTGATGATATGATACAAATGCAATAAACGATAAATGTATAATAAATAAATAAAATAATAAATATATGAAACACATTTAGCCATTTCTTTTGTCATGAAAATATTCTTAAATTTAACTTGAAATTATAGGTGTTTGTAAATTCACTAGTGCTGCTGCGATGATAACAATATAGTCTGTTAAAGGTAACATATTATGATAAACAACCACATGAGGTTTGAGAAAATCAAACTCTCTCATTCGTCCGATCACGCGTTCTATATGAATACGTAGAGCAGCGACTCCTTTGCCTTGTAAAACATCGGATTGTGATAATTTAACTCTAGCACTCACTGAAGGTGGTCGAATTAATTCAATCTCTTTATTGTCAAGAAGCTGAACAATATTCTTGAATCCTCGATCAGCCATTACAGCACAACCTTCGGGTAATTCTTCTACTATTTCGCTCTCCTGAAATAACAATTCATCTGAAATTCGACCTCCAACTCTTTTTAAGATGAAATTGATAAAGCCATATGGTGTGCAAGATATTAAATATTTTAAAGTATTACACTTTTTGCACTCTGACCAATGATTGATGCTCGGGATCACTAGGTTTCTCGATTTGGATCTCAAATGCAATAATAATATAGCTACCACATGACTATAAGAAGATCTAAATGCTATCGGTAATATTCTTTTTGTATTATCAAGCTCAGGCATGTAAACAAGCTTTTTAAAAAAATGTGCCAATAGCGGAATTGTTTTATTAAAAATAATGCTAGCGTCGCTTACACTTATTCCGAACTGTTCACTGTCTTGGCGTAGAATTTTCATTAAAGATAATTTTATATTAGTCATATTGGTGTTAAAAATAACACTGAGACGTTCTAACATCACATTAAGTTTTTGAAGGACTCCAGTATAGGCCTTCAAATTGTTATCAATTAAATAATTTATGACTTCTACAATTTCACCTTTTTTTATAGGAGACTGTAAGCTACAGTCTATATAACTCGAGTCGCTATTCTCTGAAGGCTCATAAATCTCTCGAGAACTGTTTGAATTTGTGGTGAAACTAATATCTGACAATTTTTTCTGATCATGTTCGATTATTGGTATTATTGGAGATGTTGCAGTACTCATGCTACCAGTTTTAATTGGTGAGCAGGACTGATCTACTCCGGCTGATAAAAGTTCACATTGGACTGACTTGCTACAATATTTAGGATTTACTTGAATAGCAACAGCACGACTGTTAAAATCGATTGGTGTTTGTGTACCAACACTGACTTTAATTATTATATTTGAAGGAGCATTATTACTTTCAACATCAACACTGTTGCCTGTTATGGCATCAATATTTGATTTCTGTGGATTAACAATTTCCATATTACCCGAAGATTCACTCGAAATTTCTTGAATTACTTGTTTTCTTCGTCTTTTTTCTAAAGCTGGTCTAGAAGTCCCTCGTCGTTTACGATTAGGCTGACATTTAAACTTGTGTGGTACCACATCAATTTTAATCTTGGCTTTACCTCCCAATGTCGTGTAATATATATAATTTTCCATATCATCCTTTAGCTGCAAAAGGAACGTATCATAAGAATTATTTAAATGTTTTTATGATAAGGAAACAAAACCATAAAATTTACTTTCAAATTTATATAGTACAATACATAATCTAAAACGTCAGAAAATTATAAATAATCAGTAGAAAATTGAAATACTTACATCAAAGTGATCTTCACAACAAGAAAAATTCGATTTTGTTTTAGGATAATCTCGGTGCACTGCTTGACAATTTTTTCGACATTTCTCGTCATTAGTAGCATGCAAAAACATTTTTTCAGGAGTTGTCTTTGTTGTATTTGTACATAATGGTACAAAACAATTGCGATAACATTTTACATTTGACATTTTTTATATATTTTTGAATATTTAACAATGACAGAACGATATTAATGATGTAACAGAATGACGTCACACGCGCTTGGCTTCGTTCGGGATTTGTCGGCGCTCTTCGGTACCGAATTCAAACACAAATTTTAATTTGGTTTAACTTTTTAATTATTGCGAGAAAAAAAAATGAAAAACTTTGTTATAAAACTTATATATGATATTTCCATTAAAAAAAAACTACTACGATCTTTCGAACAGGTTTTAAATTCTCAACATCGGTTCAGATATTTTGGCGACGATAAAAACATTTGTACTTATTGGAAAAGAAGAGGCTGGACCTATTGTCGTGCAAAACTATAAACGCGTCTTTATGGAGGCTTCTAAATATTTAAATAGCTTCTAAATGTTTAAGATCGCTGCCACCATTTTTGAGAAAACTCCGATGAAACATTAATAGGGAAATTGTGACTTATAACATAGCGTTGTCAAGGCAACGGTATCTTATGCTTATTTATTGGTAGTAAAACTGTCAAAATGCCTATTTGCTGAGCTATCAAGCGTATTTTACATATAAACAAGCAAGAAAGAATGTTTTAACAGAATCGTCTATGATGGAGTAACATTCAGTTATCATAACATTCTTCCTTGCTTATTCATATGTAAAATACGCCTGATCGCACAGAAAATAGATCGACATTTTCACAGTTTTCACTACTAATAAACAAGCATAAGAGATATCGTTGCCATGGCAACGCTATATAATGAGGCAGAACTGCCTCATAAGTTTTGGCTAACATAGATAATTATATAGGTTGGGTATCATTGATAATCAAAATTTTCCAAAAGTCGAGATCTAAACATTTAGTAAGAATTAGCTTCATACTCATTTTCGCACTTAAGGAACACAAACATACTATCAACAATTCTAGAAATCTCTTCCACAATTAATCAAAGGATTAAACTAGATTAATTTTATTAATTATCGAATCAGGAGTCTTGCTATGACCATCGCGACAAGGAGAGAAAAAGAAAGTCAACCACTAATATATACTACTTGCATTATTATTTTCATCGTTAGCAGGAGAGGTCACAGTCCTTCTTCCATTCAAACCCTGCACTTGCTGCTCTTGGCCACTATTAGAGACATTTCTATTCTCATTTATTTGTGCATTAAAATTATTATTGCCTCTGTTAGGAGCAGCAGATTTTATATTAGGATGTGTTGCTGCTGCCAATGCAGGAGACGGTTTGAAGACAGAAAGAGTTTTGCTGCGAGAAGGTGTTGCTAAAGAGTCGCGCAGGAGACGAATCCAACTAGCACGGAAGGCCCCACTGCGCCTCCTATAAAAAAATTATAGGAATCAAATAGCAGAACATTTATTGAGTAGTAATGATTACCTTTTGATGGATTGTCGGATGTCAAATGACTTTTTGTTGAAGCTAGTAGGCATCTCGCTGTTTGTTCTGTTGAGAATTAAAATGATAACATTAGAAATGTATTTGGTGCAATCCATATTATATCGCCAACTGTTTTCGTGCTTCAAATATAAAAATTTATAAAATTCAAATGATAAAAGTATTATCCCAGTAAACACCGAGCGGCGGTAACAATCTGAAATCCACATAGATTCCACATGGGTGTCACAACGCTGAAGGAACGCTTGTGGATTTCAGGTTGCTGCCCGAGCGGCGGTAACAATCTGAAATCCACATAAATTCCACATGGGTGTTACTACGCTGAAGGCACGCTTGTCGATATCAGATTGCTACCGCCGCTCAAATCACACAGTATTTCCTAAGATATTTGACGCAATAAATAATATAACATTGAATGAAATAGTATTCATGAAATATTAATTTCTCTTTTCTTAAACAGTTATTAAACTTGATTCCTGTGAGCTGTGTGTGTATATGATGATACTTTTCCTTAACAACTTCGCTTTAGAAAGCAGCCTTTTTAGTTGACCGATTCCTGCTTGATTTATTTGCAAAATTAGTATTTCTCTAATACTAATAATATATTTTTAAATTGATGCAGTAATGCCAGGGATCTATACTTTTATGTGAAAACTGATAACACTACTGCTAGATACCAGACTACGAGGACCAAAGCTCTTACCAAAACTTAATAAAATAGTATATTAAGTTTGGTTTGAATAATCATTCATACTTTATATCTATTTAGAACTTTTTTAATGGTTTCTATTACCTTTTATTTGTATTAATGCAGTTGTCATCTTCATTACTAATTTTTTTGTCCTTTTTTTTGAATAAAATAACTTCACTGCATGTATCTAATGTAAAAAGAAAGTAATATGAATATTTGAAACTAAATTAAATGTAATGTAATGATGTATTTTAGTCGTTACCTATATCAAAAATTCGAATACATTTAAATATAAAATTCACTTGCAACACAATACGCAATTAAAACCAGTTATATACAACCAAAGCATTATCTATAGTTATAATTTATTAAACTATTAAAATTAATTATAGTTATAATTATATAATTATAACAAACATAAAGAAATACAACACAATATAAAAAATAAACTGCAATGATTGTCCAGCATCCTACATAGGTATAAAAAAAAAATTTAAAAAAAGGAACAAAATATTTACAGTAGAATCTTACTAATCCACTATTAAAAAACAGAGGGTTTCGGATTAGTAAAATATACGGATTACTGGAATCTAGTGAAAAAAAACAGAAGTTATTGAAAATCGAAAAAAAAATCCAGCAAATTTCCACAAAATTGTCCAGCGCTGCGATTGCTGGGGATGTCGAATTATTGGAGGTGTCGGATTAGCCAGAAAAGAGAGAAAACTAGTGGGGCGCATGGCATCGTGCCTTAAGCAAATTGCTGGAACTTTCCGTACCAACTTTTTTTTTATAAAGATTAACATTTTTGAAAAAAAATTACTCTGAAAAATTAGATTTTTGAGAAACTATAAATTTTTGACAAAAATTTACTTTTTTTGAAAAAAAAGACTTTTTGAAGAAAAGTGTATTTTGAAATATTTTGGAAATCCTGAACTTTTTTTCAAAGCAATGGTACTGCTTTAACTGCATAGAGACGAAATATTCAAATCGCTTCATCCGTGTTCCCGAAATCGTCGATGAAAATTTGTATCCGCACACACATACACACACGCACACACATACATCCATTTTTTCTAAGGTATGCCAAAATATTCAGAAACCTCTGAAACGTAAAGATATATAAAAATTTTCATTTTCGATTTTTTCGCGATTACTATAACTTACCCTACGGGAAGTTAAAAATACCAAAATGAAGAAAAATGCGATTCTTTACGTATATATATATGTATTTCCATTTATTTATTTTATAAACATTTAGGTAGTATTATGTTATATTATTTAAATAGTATATTATTTCTTATATATATGAGGAAAATTAATCATAATTAAAATTAAGAAGGGGAAGATTATGGTGAAGAAAAAATAGTTTCTGCGTTTTTGGAAAGTAATTTACTTCTTTTTTTCTCGTAGACCATTCCAGCTTCGCGGAAAAGGCGTTCTGAATAAACACTACTTCCTGGCACCGATAAATATTTGGCTGCAATTTTGATCAAATATGGAAATTCCGATTTCCTTGCTTGCCACCAATTATATGGATTTTCGTGACGGTGTATTTGGTAGAGCTCAAATACTGATCTATTTCCGTTGAAAATTCATTTTTATCCCCTAATGGATTTTTATGGGCTGTAATTTTTTCTGCTATTACCTCATCGAAACAAGACATAAAAGTCGATTGGTATGAATTTGACTTTGCTCTTCGGTTCTGATCTTGTTTTTTGCAGAGGATGAACTCGCACAATCTTCCCTTGATTCTTCATAGCTCATTTGTATGCTATCGATTAAAACATACTGTTTTGCTTTTTCTTTTTGCATCTGATTAGTAAAAGAAGTTTATTTTGAATCGTGGATCGAGAAAAGTAGCTACCAAATGGTATTTACTCGTTGCAATCTCTTCAAATCGTTCTTGTATCCCTTGCTGTATGACCAGTATTGCCTGACCTAATTTAGATGTTATCTCTTTTGATGTGCTCATTTTATTATAATACCGCATTAAGGTTGCAACATACGGAATAATTTCAGAAATGCAAGCGTATCTAGAACTCACAAGTTTTGTTATCTCCTCAAACGGTTTCAATAATTTTAAAATATGCTGCTCCAAAAGCTCCCATTGTGCCGCAGTTAAATTGGCAATGTCACAGTCCACGAGATACACAGAAATTGCTCGTTTTTGTTGCATTGATCTTTCAAGCATATAATAAGTAGAGTTCCAACGCGTGCTAACGTCTTGAACTAATTCGTGTTGAAGAAGATCCAAATCTTTTTGAATAGAATGCAGTTTCTCTTGTGCAGTACCAGAATGATTTTTTTTTATTTCTGCTAATTTTAACAATCAGATTACAATACTATCTATAAGTTAAAAGTTATAGTATGGAAAATCAAAATCAAGAAGAAAAAAAAAATAGAATAATAAGAGTTAAAGAAAATTAATAGAATAAATAAATGAATAAATAATAATTAAAATAATAGTATTAATAATAATAAAAACAATAATCAATAATAAATTATAAAAAAAAGTAACTTATTTGAAAATTTTCCTGTGCAAAACAGAGAAAATAATGTTGTTGACGGTAGATCACTGGGCCATTTTCTTTTCAAGCGTTTTAATTTTCCGGCTGTCTGTACTATTTGCATTTCCTGATTGAAGTGTACATCCAATTTGTTTTGAAAGATTAGACTTCTGTTTTTAATAACTTCCGCTACTATAGGAATTTTTAAGTCTTACGTCCACGGAGCCTTACAGACCATTCTCAGAATTTTGTTTTGGACTCTCTGCATTATTTGAATGTTACTCTTGATGGCGCAGCCCCATAGCTCTATCCCATTAGTCCATATTGGAATTATTATTGCTTTGTATAACAGAAGTTTATTTTCTAGAGACAGTTTGGATGATCATCTCATTAGCCAGTTTATTTCCTTCAGTTTCAAATCTATTTGTTTGTTTTTTCTTTCTTTAAAATATGCGTTTTCCAATTTAGTTTACTGTCTATATGTATTCCTAGGTATTTTACGGAATCCTGGTTTGGTATAATAGTCTTATTCAAATACGCTGGCAGGACTTGTGTGGCTTCTCAATGAAATGATGAGGTGCTGAGATTTCTTAACGTTAGTTTTTATGTTCCATTTATCTAGCCATAGTTCTATTTTCGCCAGGTAATTTTGAAGTAAAGAAGTAGCTGTTGTCACATCTTTATGACTTGAGGTAATAGCGATGTCATCAGCATAGTTGCTTATTGTTAATGTCGGATCGAGTGGCATAACACTGGTGTATAGCAGATATGTATTGGGCTGAGAGCGCTACCTTGCGGAACATCGGAATGATTTTGTTTTGTAGAGAAGAGTTCTTCATTTTCTTTAATTTGAAAGGTTCTATTTGATAAGTAAGATTCCAAAATTGTGAAATATTTTGGAAATGTTTTCTTTAATTTATATAATAATCTCATGTGCCAAACTTTGTCGAAGGCCTGGCTGATGTCTAAAAAAAACTGCTACACAAAATTCTTTTTCATTCAGGGCTGTGTTGGTGCTTCAGGATTGAGTTGGTTATTCTGTTGCATTGGTGTATTGTTGAGTGATGTCTTCTAAAACCAAGTTGGTGGTTAGGTATCCCGGATCCTTCGGGATGATCTTCTAATAATCTTTGTAAAATTAGTCTTTCGAATACTTTTGATAGGGATGGAAGCAGGCTTATAGGTCTATAAGATTTTACGTCAGATGAATCTTTGTTTGGTTTTGGGATCATTATGATTTTTGCATTCTTCCAAACAGATGGCCAGTAGTTAAATTGAAGAATGGAGTTGAAAATGGTTGTGATAAATAAGAAACATTTTGGTGGAAGTTCTTTTAACATTTTAGGAGCGACTTGATCATTTTTTGGGCTGATTTTAATTTGATAACTTTGATTTTATTTTTGATTTCACTTAGTTTAAAACCAGAATGATTAAAATGAGTTACGATTCTTCTACCTGTAGCTATCATTTGAGTTTCATCCCTAGACATGCCTAGACAATATAATAATATTATATGATCTCATCTAACTGTTGCGCCATGGTTGCACCTTTAGACAATTTATGACTATTAATTGAATAGTATGAATGAAACAACGCGCTGAAGTCAACTCTGCATCGTTGACAGCTTTTACAATGTTTCGTCCATTATCATGACATATTTGCAATTTCTTGTAAACTCATTGTTATGTTACTCGCTGTATGTTTTCTCTCAAAATGCCTAATACTTAATACAGCAGATTTAAGATTAAAATTCGATCAATAAAATGTGCCGAAAACTTAAAAAACTATTATGATTATGCAAGTACGTCCACATGTCGGAAGTCACGAAAATAAAATCTGCTTCTGTAAGTATTTTTTTTATTTTCGCAACCACTTTCTGATATATCTCTGAAATAACATTCTGGGAAAAATAACGACGACTCGGTATATTATACCTTGGCAAAGCACTATTAATTAGTCCTCTAAAACTAGCCCCTTCTACGATATTTACTGCCTCGTTATCAAGTGCAATCATTTCAGCTATTAAAACCTGGTACTTTTTTGTCTTGGAATCAATAATATCCCACGATTTATTTATTTCTGTGAATTTCTCTAGAGTCAGCTGCTTGCTTTCATTTTCATTTCTGGTGTTTTGCCACTTAGACAGCATGGGTACCAATTCATGAAACTCTTCAGAATGTTTATATTTCAAATGATTTAACATACCTGATGTAGTAGCCTTTCTTCCAACGCCACCATGAGAAATTTTTGTTTCACACAGTATTCACATAAGACTTTATGATCAATTCACATCATCTTTAAAGTGTGTCCATATAGAGGATTTTTCTTAGAGTTCATAATGAATTTATTATTTTTAAAGCAAATAGGTAATTATTGAATTGTTTATTTGTTAAATTTTACACTTGCAAACACATTCAATACTAGGAGGGACCAATGAACTGTACTTAAGCACTTAATCTTAACGCTAACGCAAGAATTAGTAACCAAATATTCAGGGCAAGCCTAATATATATATAAAAGTGCAAATAAGCATTGTTCTATTTTTGTACTAACAATTATTGGTCTAAACATGTAGATGGTAAATTATCTTCTATTGATGTGCTCCTCAGTTTGTCCTCTTCAGAGGTTGTGTCAAGAACCCCTTCAACATTAGAGTTATGTGTTTTCCTGTGCCTCATTAAATAAGTCGGTGAGCCAAAAGCTTTATCGCACATATCACATTTATGAGGACGACCCCGAGTGTGAGTATGTTTGTGTTGAGCTAAATTACTCGATTGAGAAAATGCTTTACCACATATTTCACATTTATAAGGCCGTTCTCCAGTATGAGAAAAAACATGTTTTTTCAAGTTACTCATATCAAGGAATGATTTATTGCATATAGTACATTTGTAGGGCTGCTCTCCGGTGTGAGTCATTGTGTGTTTAATTAAACCACCAGATTGGTTGAAAGCTTTATCACACATTGTACATTTATAAGGCTTTTCACCGGTGTGAATAAGGAGGTGTTTTGTTAAGCTGCCTGAGCATAAAAATGTTTTATCGCATACTGAGCATTTATAAGGTCGCACCCCGGAATGAATGAGCATGTGCTGAGATAAGTGACTCGATTGTTTGTAAGTTTTATTACATAAAGTACAATGATAATTACGTTCACCTGTATGAGTAATCATATGCATTGCTAATCTGGTAGCGGTAGTGGATGCTTTATTGCATATTTTACATATATGACTAGGTGTTTGTGTATGAATTGTAAGATGCCGCTTCAATTTGATAGGTGTGTCAAATGATTTATCACAATATGTACATTGAAAAGTCTTGTTGGAAGTGCCACATTTGAACTGGTTTTCAGCTTCAGCATTAGCTTCAATTTCTTGTATTTCAAATTCTTCACTTTTAATAAACCTTTGGACACAAGTATCTTGATTATTATTATTTGAATTAGTTGCATCTTCCACTAAATATGTGTTTTCAATATTATCATGCAATGATGAAGAATCAATTGGTTCAATTTTAATTATTTGGTTATTAGGATTTGTATCGGCAGACATTTTTATCTATTTTAAATAATAATATTTTATTGTAATTGACACATTACTAATAAATGATACATAACTAATATATTTTTCACAAAACCTATTATTAATAATAATTATTGTCAGGTCAAAGTTTTGACATTTCAGCTGTCAAAACTGTCAAACATGGCGGACACTTCGAAAGACATCGAGCAATTCGACACTCTTCGTCAATCTTCGTGTTCGAATGCACGAACACGTGCTTAGAACATACACACTGAATGGCCTGAGGACAAGGCCCATTATTCGAACCTTTAATAATTTTTGAAGTAAAACTTCTTTAGACGTGACTAGGGTGTAAATCCGTACAGTTGCAAAAGAAATTGCGTTACGCGCCAACTGTACGTCATTCGCTTTGGATGAAATCATTTCAATACGGGTCGATTGTGATTAGTCGTCGTGTATGTGAATAAAGATCTGTCGTTGATGTATGCGTACCTGCATCAGCGTTGTATGCGTACCGATATCAACATGGAAATCGGCATGAATTCGTAGTTTCTATAAATCTTTGAAGTTATTGAAATGGAAAATATTTTTTAGACAAGACAGATATTACAGCTGTTCGAAGAATGAGAGTATATCGCCAGCAAAAAACTAAAAAAATACAAGCAGTCAATGAATATATGTTAATTTTGATTACATGAAGTTCTTCAAACACAATTACATGATGAGTTAAGTTGCAAAAATAATATTTGTTTAGTTGTTGTTTATTATAATCTACTGTGTGACGAATATTATAGAATTTATTAATCAATTACTTCTTTTCTCTAATAAAGGATCATTTCTAAATGCTAATTACAATGGCAAACAAATGATCATGTCATATTTGAAGTATGACTTTAATTACATAATTGTTTTTAAATATTATACATATTTTTAATGCTATTATTAACATATAATTTATAATTTATCATTATATAAATGTGTATAATGATTGACACTAAATGTGTGCATCACGAGTGTTACCATATAGTAATATTAGTAATAAACATTATTCAAAATTGTTATATGATTTATTTATTTTCACTTAAATGACATCTTATACAGTAGCAAATAAGTTTTACTTCAATCGCGTGTAAACGTCACACGCACTCTTGTTTTTTTTTTAATTAAACCACTCTTTATAGACCTATATTATTTAAGATATTCATTTAGAGCACACTTCCCAAATTTTCTTTTGTCATGGACCCCTTGAACCTTGCCATATTTACCCGATATCGTTTTTTGTTATAAATTTCTAATAGTACTAAAGTTTATTATTATATATTTAAATTAACCCAAAAGTAAATATGCAATTATCAACAATTGGCAACAATTTTTGTAAAAATTTAATATATAAAGTTATTCGTTTAGACCACAGTTACTCAGTTTTCTTGTGTCATAGACCCCTTGAACTTTGCCATATTTACCCTATATCGTTTTTTTTGTTATAAATTTCTAACAATACTAAAGTTTATTATTATATATTTAAAGTAACCCAAAAGTAAATCAACATTTGGCAAAAATTTTGTAAGGCTTAAGTGTACATCCCTTTTTGTTAGGAGATCAGTAATAACGCTAAACCACCTTTCTACTGTGTATTTTAAGTTTCAAACAAAAATTTATATTGGAAGATTCCCGAAACTCATTTCATAGTTTTTAGCGGTTTATTCTAACACGTATTTATTATCTAAATTAGGAAATTATTTCACAAACAAATTTGCTCTTAGTGATTCGTCATATAAACAAAAATACACAAGTACAATAACCTATCAAATCTTGCATGTTACCGCTATCCATTATATATATATATATATATATATATTATATATATATATATATAATGAAATTGTTTCTTGGGCATCCATCCAGTAATTAAAAAACAGTTTTAATGAAAAATGTTTTTATTTTAAGAAGTGCTATAATTAAATAATTCAGGGTTACAAATTAAAACAATATAAAAAATACATAATTAACAACCAAAAATAAGTAAAACAATGTATATGAAAAGTATATATGAAAAACAACCATAAAATAAACAAATGTAAAGAAACTCACCATACAAATAAATTTTGAAAAACAACACAAAGACACAAAATTGCACGAAAAAATAAATAAATGTGAAATAAAAAATTGATGAAACGTCTAGTTATGAAAAATTTAAATAAATGTAAAATTAAAATAAATGATATATTTTATTATAAAAAAGCTTATTCCAAACGAACATGTTGTTAGTTTGGAAATTGTATTACGAGTGTGTATGAGAGTAAAATGTGTGCGTAAGTGTTTGCGGAAAATAGTGGAAACTGTATCGTCATTGGTGAGAGAAATAAAACCATGATCACCGAGCTATAATTTTTTATGTAACTATTATCGTTCCATAACTATTATCGTTTTTCTGTTAATATCTATACTTTTCCTTAATAATTTTCTCTTCATTCACAAATTTTTTGGATTTGATTATGGATGTCTTACACATGTATATTTTTACTATGTTCCTATTGCGCATGATCGTTAAAAAAATCTTCGTAATATAAAACCACTAAAATTCTCTCTATCCCGTTCTCTCACCAATGACGATACAGTTTCCACTATTTTCCGCAAACACTTACGCACACATTTTACTCTCGTACACACTCGTAATACAATTTCCAAACTAACAACATGTTCGTTTGGAATAAGCTTTTTTATAATAAAATATATCATTTATTTTGATTTTACATTTTTTCAAATTTTTCATAACTAGACGTTTCATCAATTTTTTATTTCACATTTATTTATTTTTTCGTGCAATTTTGTGTCTTTGTGTTGTTTTTCAAAATTTATTTGTATGGTGAGTTTCTTTGCATTTGTTTATTTTATGGTTGTTTTTCATATTTACTTTTCATATACATTGTTTTACTTATTTTTGGTTGTTAATTATGTATTTTTTATATTGTTTTAATTTGTAACCCTGAATTATTTAATTATAGCACTGAAGATGGGTCAAATCAGGACCCGAAACGTATGTTCTTAAAATAAAAACATTTTTCATTAAAACTGTTTTTTAATTACTGGATGGATGCCCAAGAAACAATTTCATTATATTATTTCACCATCTGAAGAAAAACCTCTCGCTTTATATATATATATATATATATATATATATATATATATATATATATATATATATATATATATATATGTATAAGAAAATAAACTAGAACTTACTTGGTCTACAATCGAATGCCAACTTTCCTTCAGCCTGTCGAAGAGCAACATAAGATCTCACAGATCCTACAGATGATGACATTGCATACTTCCATATCTGCATTTTAATCATAATTTTAATTATACAATTATAAGGCATAATTAATTTTATATTAATTGTAAATTATAAACAAGTTCTCACATTCAAAGATATTGATTTGTAATAATACAATGTTAAATAAAATTAAATCATGCATTATAAATATTAAAATGATAACTGTTCAGTACTTTTTTGCAGTTGCATAAAATGAGTGTCGCATTCAGTACATATTTTTTATATTATTTTGTATACGGAAAAATGTAAACGTTTAAGCGTAAATAAATTTATGTATTTAATAAATTTTAACTTAATATTTAATCGATTTTTATACATCTTTGTCACGACAAATTAATATTTATAATATCATTTAAATATTAAATAAAATGCACTGCCTTTATTTCAAATTCTAACCCAAGATCAAATCAAGCCTATTTTTTAATTTCCCAAAGAAGTTTATGTTTTTGCCACAATTGAAAGTTTATATATATCTAAATTTTTGTTGATTATCGGAAAGTTTATGCAACTTGTCTTAAGGAAAAATGCCACATAAACCTAGCTAAATATTTATTCAAACAAAGTATTTCTAAACAAAATTAGTACAAATACTGCTATAGATTAGATAATTTGTAATTAAGACCACTTAAGTCTGAAATATAACAAAATCACTTTTGTAAATTCTTAATAATGAGTTTGAAGTAAAATAAAATAGAACAACTAAATAGTTATGTGTATTGTTAGATTATGTATATCTCAAAGGCACAACTGACTATTAAAAATTTTAATAAATTTATATAATTAAATACCTTTTGGTTAATCTAATTAAATATTTATAAATATGTATCATTAGATACTGTACCTAATATTAATAAAATTGTTTTAATAATTGTTGGCTAATTACTTATAATTAATCAATTAAATTTAATTTTTTCACATACCTGTGAGTCGTTTCCACAGTAACTACTGCCTTCACTATACTGACTGCACAACTTTTGAAAAAATGCCTCGTTTTTCAAAAACAGAGAAACACTCGATGTAATTGCCTGAGGATGCAAGAAAAAGCTGGAACACCTCGACTTGCCAGGATAACTAAAAGAAAATTATTATTTTAATTATATCATAGTCAGTTTAATGTTTGATCTAAATAGTAACTAAGCCAAATTTAATTTATAGATGTCGAAATAGTAAGTGAGTGTAGTATTACAAATAGATATACAAATTTTATTGAATTCAAAAATTTACAGTTTACAACCAAGCCCTGTGATATATTTTTAAGAGAAATTATAATATTATCAATTCTGGTTTTTGAGCTTGCCAAGAATTGAAGTTTTACTTTTGAAATTAATTAAAATATTAAATAAGAAGCAAAGCCTTAACCAAACACTGAAATGATTATGGCACATAATATATATGCCACAATAATATAATATTCACGTTAACATAAATATTATTAAAAATATATATACATATATTAATAATTTATTGATATTCAATAAAAAGCCTGGTTTAAAATTTATTAATTAATAGTTATTAATAATTAAATTTTATTATTACTAAATAGAATATTTTACAAAATATATCTGTACATTCATATGTAAATTGTTTCATAATATCTTATACCAGGCACCCTTGCCTGACAGATATGAAAATAATATATAAATGAAATATAATAATAATAATAATTTATATAATACTTACATTCCATAACATCCTTGATTAACAGATGTATCAGATACTGAATTGTCTGTTGTATTTGCTGGAGAAATTTCTTTCGGTGGTGCAATTATTGAAATTACTTTTCTTGCATTCTGCATAAGAAAAATATAAAAAAATGCTTGTTAAAACATAAATCTATATATATATATATATATATATATATATATATTTATATAAATATTTATTTATTTATTTATATGTATGTATATAAACATACATAATTAAGTATGTATAAAAAATTGCATAAGTTTTGTGTATATACATACCTTTTTCTTATTTTTCTTCTTCATTTTTGATGGTGATATGGTTGTAAACTTCACTAAAGATGAACTGTGTTCTAAACTATCTTCGCCCTCATTTTCTATAAATAAACATATAAATAAATGAGTGATTATATAATTGTATTCACAAAAAGGTCCACTACCGATATCTCAAAAACAAGTAAAGTTAAGAAATTTTTTAATAACAATATTATTACAACATCGCTATCAATGTTTGAAAACAAAAAAAATCCGTAACAAAAGTATTTTCTTCGTGGTTAGTTTTATTGGTTGTGTGCTGTTCGTTAGCTTACGAGACCATACATTACTTAATTGTTTTGTATGCATTGTTTTTTTTTTTATATAACCTCTACATATAACAGTTTACATCTGGGTGGGGTAAAAAGGACCAACTGAACCTTTACCCCGGCAAAAGTGTAAACAACAAAAAATAGTAAAAAAAAGTAACTAAGTTTGAAAAAGCAATTTTACAAGTAATAAATTAAATAAATAGTTTCAATTCTGCTGATAAATATTTCGGGTGAAATACTAGATCAAGGTTATATACAGCCTGGCTTTGTAAAAACTTTACCTATGATTTATATTTTGAATCGGTTGAATAATAATGTAGCTTATTTTATATCGTAAAATCCTTTTAAAATTAAAAATAAGACATTGGATCTATTTGCTGGTCCTGACTTTCCTATTTTACACCAGCTATGGGTAAAAAATTTTTAAAAAACATTTATAAAACAAATTTTAGAAAAATAGCACATTTATATAAATAGGAATTAACTGAGATTATATAAAAATTTTGTGTCTCTGTTTGATATATACTCTTTAATAAATTAATAATTAATTATTAATAAATTTAATAATTCATACTTTATAAATATCGAATAGCTTTTATTTTAACTATTGATATCAAAATTATTGCAAATATATTAAATTTATTATTCGACATTAGTGTGCATTCATAAATTCCTAATAGATAGCGGTTTTGGCATCTAATTGTAAGTTGCTAAAATATTTTTTTTTAATTCTAATTTTTTTTGCAGACTTATTAAAGAAACGCTTGGCTGGGTTGGCTAGTATGTACATATATAAATACATTTTACTTAAAAATAATCAGTAAATTATTTTTGGATACAAATAAATATATTTTTTAAATAAAGTGTGACTTAATTAAGCTTTAGCTTTAGCTTAAGCTAAATTTCATGTATGCATTATTAAAAAAAAACTGTTTACAAGAATATCATATATATGATATTAAAAAAACCTTTATATCAAACATAATCTTAATATATTTAATTAATAAGTTTATTTATATAATTTATGGGGCAATTCTGTCGTCGACAGAATTGCCCTATTAATTTATTAATTTATTCATTAAAATATGGCAAAACTCATCACAACCAATACGCAATCAAGATTATTTATAATCGTAACAAACTTGTTATGACTATTACCAATATATTATTATTATTTTCTTAATTAAATTAATTAATTAGTTATTTACCAATATCATTGAGTCCAAAAATATATTGCAGCTTCATGGCCAGCCTTGTCTTTGGTGGAATAGAAGGAGAAGAAATAGATTTATTGTTGTTCCTGCAATCAAAATGTAGTATTCTTACTATAAGTTGTTACTTTAAATTAAAACTAATATGTAAAGGTAATTCAAAATAGTGTAATTTGTAATTAGATTAAATTTTACCTCGTGTTGACTTCTCGATCATCCTCAATCCCAAAATTTCTTTGGAAATCATATGATATTTTATCGACCCTGTAGTAATCCTGATTTTGTTTCCCAAAAGCATCCATAGAATCTTGTTTTTCTGTTCAATAACAAAAATAAATCTTTATTTCATAAAACAAGCGAGCAGTGATAAAAAATAAAAAGATATAATAAAATAATAATAATAATAAAAGATAAAAATTAAGAGAAATATATAAGATAAGTAAATATTGTAAAAATATTAGGGTGGGTCAAGTTGTATGGGCTAAGAAAGTTCACAAGGGCATATCGCAATTCTGATTTTTAACTTCCCATATGGTAAATGTTTACACATTTTACATGTCGTTTCAGAGGTTTTGAACATTTTGTCATACCTCAGAAAATATTGATGTGCATGTGTATGTATGTATGAATGGATACAATTTTTCGTCCACGTTTTCGGGCGCATGTATTAACCGATTTGAATGGTTCAAAATACATTTGATTCCTATTGATAGAGAGATATGCTGATTAGGTTTTGGCAAAGGCAGGTCCAGCCGTTACGGAGATACGGAGCAAAAAGGGCAGAAAATAGAAATCGAGTTTTTAAGAGCACGGAGCATCCGATTTGAGTGATTCTAAAAACATTCAATTCGTAATATTTGGCAAAGGCAGGTCCAGCCGTTTTGGAAGTATCAAGCTAAATATGCAAAAAATAGCAGTTTTTGAGAGAACTAAGCATCCAATTTGAATGAAGCAAAAAACTTTCTGCTTGTTTTGACAAAATAATCGCTTTTGAAAAATATTTTCTTCATTTCAATTTTTTTTCTATTTTTTTTTTCAAAATAATTTTTGTTTGTATATCGAAAATAGTTCAGGTTTTCATTAATTCTGGCTAAAGTTCTAAAGATCACTTATATACTCTAAATAAATAATTTTAACTTTGTAATTCAGTTTTTATCATTATTATAAATTACTAATTAGACAATGTTACAGTATTTATAATAATCTATTTGAAAACATTTAATCTTCCTAGAACATTTCGTTAAATTATAGGAAGGTTCCACCAGTTTGCCTTAAAGCACGATGCCATACACCACTAGTTACATTATATGTTTGGCTAGTAAAAAATGATGTTTTTGCCTTTCTAATGCAATACCTAAATCTTGGAGAAACAACTAATATTGAAAATTTGACTGATTTGAAATTTACTTCTTCACTATGGTTTATTCGGCAAAGTTTCTGAAAATGGCCCACACAACTGAATCTACAAGTGCCCCAGTAAAGTTTTTAAATCTAAAGTAAATTAAAATCACGTTAATAAAACTTTGATATTGCATATACATATTTAATAGTCCTACAATTTATTTATTTTTATTACGTAACAACTACTTTGATTATGTTTCATAAATTTAACATCCAAAATCTCACGCCTAAACATAAACATGAAAAACATGAAGCACAGAAGATATTTTAGAAACTTCGTTATGAAATTAATGTTATTAAAGAACCAGCGGCCATGTTTAATGTATATTTCATTTTCGTTACGTGGCAGCTACATATACATGTTTAATGTATATTTCATTTTCGTTACGTGGCAGCTACGCCACCTGTGTTACATCAGATTATTATCCCTAGTAACAAAAGTAAGTAGTAAAATAGCGAGGAGTACAAAAGAACGAATTTATTATGATTGTAAAATCTTCAGTAAAGTATATAATAGTCATCATCAATAAGTAGACAATATGCAGGTACCATAATTCATTTATATTTATACTTATGATGAGAAAAACCATAGTCTGAAGCGTTGCAAAGTGTAGTAAGACATGTACTGTTCTTTATATTTTCAAAGAAAATATTCACATGTTCAATCTTACCTGTTTCGAAGCATTGGTTATCCTCGTTCGGACTCATCGTACCGGAAGGGCAGTCGTCATACCGGACAAGCACGTCCGAGCCGAACCGAACCGAACGCAGAGATTTCACTCGGTTATCTTCGTATATGTTTCCGAATGAGGTTGAGTAGTGTGTCGAAGAATCGTACGCCCTGAGGGTTAGAAAATTAAAATTTCTAACTTATTATTAGAAATAAATAATTAAACATTAATGAATTTTTAGGATATTTTTTAAGATCATGAAATATAAAGTTTCATTATGATGTTTCAAAAACAATTTCAACAATTAATAACAAAGAAATGGCCGGACCGATCTTTGCCAAAGATTATAGTCAAAAAGATTCTCAACTGATATCTTTAATGCAGTTTTTGAATTTTCAAAATCGGTTCTAAATTTTTGGCAAATATGTTGACAAAAAATCACGCATTCATCTACTAATTATAAAAATCGTTTAGAGAAAAAAATCGACAACATTCCAAATTTTTCCTCACATATAATACTCTTTCCAATTGCGGTGTCCAAGGGTTAGGATAACTTATTGACACCTCGATAAAACATAAATTAGGCACATTGGATTTCTTAGATTAATAAAAATAATTGTAATTATAATTGTTTCTCTTACCCGTAATCAACTGTTCTTTGTTCAGTAGAAGCATCATCCATCAAAGGATTTGTAGCAAACGATGATTCTTTACTTGAATCAATACTCTGGTACACATAATTGTTCCTGTCATCATCAGGAATCTCCAACAACTTTTCATCGCTGGTAATTTCGTAACGCTTTACAACCTCTAAAGGTTTCTGATCTTGTTCATACACATCATCATAGTAATTGTGCTTATTTTGACCTTTGTGCTTATGTTCTACTCGATCTGGTGAATCGTGATGATGCCTTTTGGATTTATTCTCATCTAACTTATCCGCATGGTTCTTGGATTTGGTTTTCAGTTCATTGATGGATTTGAAATTTTTGTCATCTTTTTTGGAGGTATTTTTGTGTTTTTTACTATCAAAGTGGCGATACTTTCCAACACTGCAGTATTCATTTTTATCATAATTTTTTATACTTTTAAAATCATCAAACTCATCACCAGGATCATCAAAGTAACCGTTAACACAAACAAAATTATCCAAACTTGTTATGTTTTCAGACACTTTTTGACTGTGTGTCTTTTTATGATCCTTGAATTTAGCAAAACCATCATCAATATCTCCAAAAATACCTCTATTGCTATCAAAGCATTCATTATTATCGACAACTGGTTTAAGTTCTTCAGAACCTGCACGTAAGTAACCTGAATTTGAAGCTGATAAATCCATTGGTTTATCAAAATATTCACCATCTGATGATACCAATGTACTGCTGTCACCTGAATTATTATCACCCATGTTAGTCCATAACAGTTGTTCTTGCTCTTCACTTGAACTTGAAGGATAGTGGTCTTTGGTGGTAAGTTTCTGTAAAACTTTTGCTTCTGGTGAAGAATCATGATTTGTATTGTAATTGTTCCGGTTATGATGATCTTCATAATTGTTTTGTTGTTGAACCTTCTTTTTGACATAAGTTCTATCACCATTTTTGTTGAAGGATAAGTTTTCATTATCATACAAATCGATTTCGTGCCGTTTGGTTTTGTCCACATAGTTGTCCAAGTATTTAGTAGTTTTCGGTTGGTTGTACGTTTTATGTTTAGATGCATCATAATATTTATTCTTGGTTTCATGCAATTGTTCACGGTACGTATTTTCTTGGTTTTTACCATATGTATTAACTTTATCATTAAAATCTACGTCATCGCTAAAGTTATCAGGATACTTTTTTGAGTGTGCTTTACTTACACGCTTTCTATTTTCATAGTCGTCAATAATAGAAAAATCATCGTTTTCAGGAGTTATATCCAGATGAAGCTTCTTGTGCACCTTCTCAGCGTCGTCAGTTATATAAACATCATCCTTTCCGCGAATTTTATCCTGGTAAAGCTTCTTGTGTACCTTATATTTATCAGTAACATTAACATTATTAACATCATCGTGTTTATGAGTTTTATCCAGGTAGAGTTTCTTGTGCACTTTGTGGGAATCTTCAACAATATAATCATCATCAATTTCAGGACTTTTATCTGAGTAAAGCTTTTTGTGCACTTTCCCAGAGTCGTCTACAATATAAACATCATCATTTTCAGGAGTTTTATCCAGGCAAAGCTTCTTATGTATCTTCTCAGAGTCATCATTAATATAAAGATCATTGTTTTCAGAAGTCTTATCTTGGTAATGCTTCTTATGCACCTTTTCGCGATGTTTATGATATTCTAATGGTTCTGGTAACTTTGAGGACTCTCCAGAATTATCATAATGATATTTATCAGAATTTTGTCTAAGCTGATCATTGTAGTTGTGTTCAACTTTAGATTCGTCATACAAGCCTTTGTTTTTATGTAAATGTTTTGCATGGTTTTTATCATTGTCATCATAATCACATGGTTCTTTCAACTTCTGCTTAGCAACAATATCAGGACACATAAGATTGCTACTGCTATTGTCTGTCAACTCGCTCATATCTTTGTTAAAATATTTCCTATCCAATATCCTATCCTGTCGCATATGCCGTGCCTTCTTGTTTTTCTTGGTCTCGATTTCAATCGCAGGTTTACATCTTTGTTTGCGCGCCGTCTTATTCATAGAAGTCTGCAAATCTTCCAAGGTCTTCACATGGACTTTATAACCACGTTTGAGTTGTCTCACAATTTGTGAAAACTGGGAATCGGTCAAGTCCAAACTTTTATTGAAATCGATATAAGCATCATCCTTTTTGCCTTTTTTGCTATCATAATGCTTTTTACCATCTGGTTCTACCTGATAATCTAAGTTCTGCACTGCTACTGGAAAAACGTTGTCGTTCCCATTGATAATCTCATTATCATCCTGTTTCTGGCTTTCGAGAGAACTGCAATTGGTTGTGTAGGAACACAAATCAGGAGAGTAAATTTCCAATATGGAACCAGTGTCATCTGGATATTTTGAAACTTCATGGTCTTTCTTTGTGTATCTTTTAGGCGCCAGAGGGGGGATTTTCTTGCGTTTTTCAACAGATTTCTTATATTTTCTTCGGGGGTTGTATTTTAAATTGTTCTGTCCAGTGGGTGTGTATAGACCTCGGAAATTTCTATGAAAAGAGAAAAGAAATATAAATATTATTAATTATACTTGTAAAATATACTCTGCCATATAATAAATGAATGCATTATAACACATAATAAAGAATTTAATATATATAATATGTTATATAACATGCAAATATGTAGGTGATTATAAAATGTGGTACAAATATGGTAGAATAAATAATAATACTAAGTGAAAGCGGCATTTTGCCTTAAGGGAAGCTGCATAATTAACTTACTGATATTAGTCCAGACATTATAGTAACTTCACCTACATATAGTAGGGTGTCAATACCATATGTAGGTTTTGAGACAACTTTATGGTGTCAATATACAAGTATTTACAGACTTACAGCTGGGTATCTCGAATTCCGAGATTCTTACCTAATTTAAGCCTGAATGACTGGACTATATGTGTAATAATAGGACTTGATCGATATAAATTAAAATTAAGCTACTTAGATGTAATTTTCAACTGTTTATTTCAAAAATAAACTTTTCGCTTTCACTAAAAGCTAATTAATATATTTTTCAAGTATGTTATAATAATATCATATTAGTAATTGAATTAATTAATTATAGCACTTCATATAGACTTCATAAATCCTAAAAGAGCTAACCGTTATTCCCAATTTTAATAAATGTATATAATATTCAACCAATTTTTGCAGGCCTCCTGCTATGTTAGGTATTCTTTCAGTACATTAACTCTGTCAAAATTGCATATAAAACGAAAAAACATTTATGGCCGATTCTGCCAAACAACAGACCAATGTTATGGTAAGGCCATGTTACGCTTCAACTTCCATACATATAATACTGAATACTGTCAAAATGTCACGTATTTGCTGTGCATTCAGGCGTTTTATATATAAACTGCAACACACTTGTATGTTATGAAGCCGGGTCAGAAAGACCCTGCTATCTAAGATCGTTCTTTTTGACATTTGTGCGATTTCTAGGTTAGGTTTTCTATCTAACAACCTGAGAAAAACGCCTGACTGCACAGCAACCACATGACTTTACTCGATATTTAGAACGAATTTGTATGGAAAGTTCTTCATAACATAGCTTTGCCATAATATTTGTCTGTTATGAAGAATCCATGAATGTAGATATAGAATATTATATAATTTATATTATCATCGACTCACTTGAAATCTTTGATACCCAACAGATTTTCTTCTTTCTTCACCAAATTATCCGCAAGAGATTTATTCCAATACATTGGTGACCGTTTACCTTGTTTCTTGTTATATTTCTTCAGATACTTTTTCATGGCAATCTCTAGCTTGGAACTACTCGAAGACTCCAAATCGGTATCGATCTATAAAATAATACACAAAAACAAATTAAATACATATGAATTTAATAATTATAATATTACTAAACCTTCTTTTAGATGATAATTTTATCCTAGAGTTGATCAAAATAGGAAGAAATAATATAAATTAATAGGTGATGAAAACGAATAATGTATATTGGTGCAATTCAGGGACCAATTCAGCCGCATAACAGAAAAAGGTTATGGCAAGGCCATGTTAGGCTCCAACTTGCTTAGATTATGCTACTGAAACGTACTGAATACTGTCAAAATGTTAAATATTTTCTGTGCATTCAGGCATTTTACACATAAACTGCAGAAAGACCCTGTTAACTAAGATCGTATTTTTGGCAATTGTGCGGGTTCTAGGTTAAGTTTACTATCGGAAACCTGAGAAATACGCCTGACACCAACCGCATGGCTTTTGCCAATGGTTAGTATGGAAAGTTCTTCATAACATGACCTTGCTATAACTTTTTCTGTTATGCGGCAGAATCGGTCCCTCAATCACATAAATCAAATGCCTTTGATATTTATTCATAATTAATTTCTAATGTATGATATTTGATGATAAACTTACACGATATGGTTCTCTATCGTTAGCATTTCCGACTGGAGAATCCAGAAAG